AGCTAGTGATTTATACATATCTTTTTCCCCTAGTATTGGCCTGTTAGTTTTTGGTATAGCAAAAATAGATGATCCAACAGATCGCCGTATCAGATCTGGAAAGCCTGCACGAACTTCCCCATTAGGAAATACAATTTATTCTCGTTGGATTTGCTCAATAGAGGCATTAGTATCACCCCTCTGAGTTTGAGGGCAATGGCTGAGCTCATTTGCATTCATAGATTTGCTCAACTGCGTAAATTTCTCCTTGTCAAGGCTGATGCCACCCATTCTATGTTCAACGTAAGAGGATTGCAGATCACCGATGTTGTTTGCTGTGAATGGGCCAAACCCATGAGAAATATCATTGTTTGAAATCTGAATGAATGAGTTACAGAAAAATATCAGATACTTGTATGTTTGATGGAGACAGATTCAACGTACAGGAAAACGACCAAAACAAGATACGCCTCAGGAAAGGAAGCATTTTATTATGGGAAACATCATAATTACCCACAACCGTTTTATCAATCTCATTTACCAGATTCATATGAGAGAGATATAATAAGAATCATCTAACAAATTATAGGAATTACACCAATATTACAGCCAAGATTGTCAAATTTGGAAAGTTAAGCAAGACATTTATACTTGTATCCCATCTGGGACAATGCTTCTCGTACTAGTCCCATTGGGAGGGGAAGGAGATAATCATTGAGCTAATAACTGATGGTAATAACATTACTAATCCATGTTTGTCATTTTTATATCAAAATTATTGCACATACAAAAGTTGTGATGTGACATTCGGGGAATGTTGGCCTACTAATTACCAGACATTTATACTTGTATCCCATCTGGGACAATGCTTCTCGTACTAGTCCCATTGGGAGGGGAAGGAGATAATCATTGAGCTAATAACTGATGGTAATAACATTACTAATCCATGTTTGTCATTTTTATATCAAAATTATTGCACATACAAAAGTTGTGATGTGACATTCGGGAAATGTTGGCCTTCTAATTACCTGAATAGGTCTTATTGAGCGAGTCTCCAAACTCTTTGTGCAGCTTACACACCCTATGCCCGCAAAATCCAAGTAGTCATACAAATACTTGGAAGCAATGCATCCACAGTGGATACGCTGTCATACCAAAATTCAACTAGACTTAGAAACCATAATGAAAATAGATGTTTGAACAATAGAAGGGCAATCGATGGCTTCGAAGTTACCTCTCGACATAACCTGCTTTCCCTCCAACCAGATTCCTCCAAATGGAACATCTCACAGTAAAGTAAATTCTCATATGCAGATCTACAGCCCACATGATGTGACATTAAACATTGGCCAAACAATAAATAAATAATAAAACAAGTTATTGAAGCAGTCTACAAGAACAACTTTGAAATTTTGTTTTTGTCTTTTTGGCCTATTACAAGAAAAATTGCAATGTCTAGTAAAGACAATAACACATCTTACTGGATACAGTGAATAATGGGAGGAAAAAAATGGAGCAAACAAACAAAGAAAGATTTAACAAGAAACTAGAAAAAGTTTCAAACAGTAGTAATTGCAACTATAAGTGTTAAGTGAAGCTAATTATTGGCTAATTTTCATCATTTTAGAAAGAACTTTTTGGCCACTAAATAAAATGGCTAGCCTTCTTTAGTCCTCCATCTTGATTCTTTTCTAAAACATAGTATATCAAATATGAAAATAAAAATTGACTTAATAGTTAAAGTAGTAGCAATTAGGGATGACAATTTAAACCCGGGCCGACGGGGACCCAATCCCTCAATTCCGATTAGTACGGGTTTTTCCCGAAAATTATCCCCATAGGGCCGGGGATGGTATTAAAAATTAAATCTCCGATGATTTTCGAGCCGGGGATGGGAATAGATTCCCCGGCCCTGGCCCGAGCAATCCCCATATAATCCCCGAATATAGATATATATGTTTAGGATATATATATATATTTAGGTTACTTTTGAGACTTTACTCACCTCTCTTCTCCACTCACACTCACTCACCTCTCTTATATCAGACTCTCTCCCTCTCTCTCTCCTTCTGTCTCTCTCCATGCTGCGGTGCTCACGGCTTCTCGCAGAGTCTCTCTCCCCCCGCTCTCTCTCTCTCTCTCTCTCTCTCTCTCTCTCTCTCTATGCTGCGGTGCTCACGGCGTCGGCGTCAGCGTTGACGTCTCCTCCTCTCTTTCTCACCGGCGTTACTCCTCCCTCAAGGCGTCACGGTGTTGGCTCATCTCCTCTCTCATTGGCGGTAGCTCCTCTCTCTCTCTCTCACGCTATGTCCTCTCTCTCTCTCACGGTATCTCTTCTCTAGTTACTCTCTCTCTCTCTCTGTTTTTTGATTTTGTTTTTCAGATCTGGAAGTTTTGGTCACTGGTGCCAAGATCCGAGTTGAGGAGTGAGAGACGAATCTGGTATATGCTAGGGTTTTGCCATTTTCTACTGTTGAATCTGTCGAATATTTGATCTGAAGCTGAATTTTTTTTTGATCTGAAGCTGTTAGGGCAATGACAGATTCCCCGTCGGGGATCGGGGCCGGGGACGGGGGTATTTCCACCATCGGGGATCTGGGACGGGAAGTGCGATCCCCGGCCCCGCCCCGCCCTGTTGCCATTCCTAGTAGCAGTTACTGAGCATTATTCAGCCCTAAATCTGATTACACTTATTTATTTTTATATTTTTAAGAAATGCTATGTATCTCAAATATTTGGGATCTTAGCATAACTCTATATTTTTTTACATGCTACATACTAGGGGTTGGCATTAGCCCAAAACCCAACTCACTATTTTTAAGACTTGCGATAAATATTTGGTCATAGGGTCAACCTGGGCTAGGATTTGGAGCTTGTTTAATTTTTTGGGCCCGGCTTGAGATAAAAATTTCTAGCCTGCCGTAGCCATTTTAAAATATTAATTTTAACTTTCATACTATTTAGTTACATAATAAACTTAAAAAATAATGGAAGTTCGAAAAAGTTAAATATATGTCCCTTTTTATAGCTTAAATTTAATTGTTAAAAGACCAAAATTATCTCACTATTAGATTTCATTAATTATTTAAATTCAAATAATTATTAAAAGTCTCCAAATCATTTAATACCCCCTCCAAGACACAATAATAAGAGTAATATTAGAAATCTCAAAAATTCTATTAAAATTTCTACCAAATGTCTCACATGGGTGTGGGACCCACACAATATGGATCCCATGTGAGCCCCACATCATGTGAGACATTTCTATCAAAATTTTTACCAAATATCTTACATGAATGTGGGACCCACACAATATGGGTCCCACACAATATGGGTCCCATGTAGGTCCCACCCCATGTGAGACATTTAGTAGAATTTTGATAAAATTTTTAGGTCTCACCCCATGTGAGACATTTAGGCCAAGTTTGGGAAGATTCAAAAAAGCCAAAAAGCCAAAAAGTTACTCAAAAAGCTAAAAAGTTAACACTATTCACCAAAAGTCAACAATTACGGCTGCACAACTCCCAATTCAAATTTTTCCCTATAAATCAATTTTTACAATTTTTTATTACACATTTTTCAATAAAAAGTCAAAAAGTTAACCCAAACATCCATATTTTCAACCTCAATTTAACCCAAACATCTATATTTTCAACCTCAATTTTTTAGTCTAAAAAGACAAAAAGTGCACTTTTTTAGTCTTCCCAAACTTGGCCTTAGTAGAATTTTGATAAAATTTTTAAAATCTCTAGCATTTTTACAATAATAATTCATATATATGGGTTAAATCAGTCAGCTTCGGCTTTTGAAATTTTGTCCGGGTTGGAATCAAGATAACAAGATGACACCCAATAGCTAAGGGGCTAGACATGGTACCCATGTTCTTATTATTGCAAGCCCGACCCACACCCGTACCCACATGGGAAAAAAATTGAAATTAAACAGAAAATTTAAATAGCAAAAGTATGAACATTTATAAGACAAAAATGTGACATTAAATTGATAATCGAACATTGGAAATTTTAAAATTTTAAAATTCTAATGAACTCAAAAAATTAAAATTTTTTTAAAAAAAAGTCTTACTAGAGAGTCAAAATCCACAACCCCAAAGTGTCCTTGGATTGGAACAAGAAATCAACTCAGACACAGATGATAGGTACTTGCAACTTTCTAAGAAGGCAATAATAATAATAAAATTGAAATTGGGAAAATTACCCGCAGTTGAAACAGAGAGTAGCAAAAGCACCGGATTTCAAACCCCAACCTTCCTTCCATTGAAACGTCGTCGTCGCTTGGCACGCTTTGTTCATGCAAAATCTTTGCCATTTGACCCAAATCAAACCTGAAACAAATCTCCATTCGAGTCAAATAAGTTAAAACCCAAATCAAAACCCTAAAACCCCCTTTTGATAATGCCTCACAATATCATCAAATCGATCCCAAAAACAAAAATTAGTATAACAAACCTAGTAGTAATCTATGGAATGAGAACTTGGATGAGACAATCACATGCAGATAAGCATGACTACAATAGAGTCGGTGTGTGTGTTCTGGTTTTGATTTGCTCCGGAAAAAACAGAGTACCAAATTTTGAAGAGAATCTGCGACAGAGAAGTGGAGTCGGTGACGGTGATTGAGATTGCGATTGAGGTTTTTGAGAGGTGGGGATGGGAGGTTGAGACAGAGAGAGTAGACATATATATATATATATAAAGAGAGAGGGTTTTGAGAGAGAGAGAGAGAGAGAGAGAGTGTTTGCATGCAGAGGAAACAGATGCACAAAATGCATGCATGACACTTGAAGACACCGCGAGGTAGTCTCTCCACTTGAAACGTACCCAGTCTCTCTCTCTCTCTCTCTCTCTCTCTCTCTCTCTGCCTCGTAGAAAAATCCTAGATTGGTCCAAGGTGTGAGGTAGGATAGTTTTCATCAATTACAAATTATTATACCTTTTCCAATTTTTTTTAAGAAAAATGTTTGAGTCCGCTAAATAGGGAGTTTTAGATGTGAATTTCATTTTATGATTTGAAATTTTGACGTGTAAATTATATTTATATATATATATATATATATATTGTCACATCATTAGAATTGGCATTAGAGTTATAATTCTAGTGCTTTCTATCATCATTAGAGTTGACATCATTTTCTTATCACTTTACTTGTTTTTGGTTTTCTAAAAGCACTTTTCAAAAAATTCTACATTCTTGTTTTTTGTATTTTTTTTTATTTTATTGAATTTTTTTAATATTTTAAGTATTTTTTTTTAATTTTTTGAGACATTTAACCTAAATACACATAAAACGTATAATTTTTGCGCAAAAAATCTTTTAAAAATTCACTAAATACCAAAAATACAAAAAAAAATGAGAATTCAGTATATTTTTTACATTTTTATGTATTTATTAATTTTTTAAAATATTTTTTCACAAAAATTTTACTTTTTAGATTTTTTAGATACATCTAAAAAAGTAAAAAAAAAATGCTTAAAATTTTAAAAATATTCACTAAAAACAAAAAAAAAATACGAAAAATAAAAAATTCAACTTTTAAAAAACTTAATCCAAAAAACTCAAACCGAACACACATTGCCAGGACCAACTAACAACTTCCCCCTATTACAAGCCTCTGGTCCTAACTCAAGTGTGACTATTGTCAAATTACTTAAAAGTTAAAGGCCTTATTTGGACATGAGTTATTTTAATTATTTTAAAATTTTTTATGAAAAGATATACAGAAAAATAAAGAAAGAAATGACAATTTATAATGATTTTTTTGACTAAAATTAAAAATTGTCAAACGACTTGAACAATCTGCTGTAAAATATTTTATTGAGTTAAAGTGAAAATAGTTTTTGTATTACATTAGCTCGATGACTATGCTATTCTATTTATACATGCTATGAGATAGGGATAGATACAAATAATGATAAGGATAGAATCATGGATGTATATCTGTGATATATCTCTGATATGGGAAGCATATCTCAACAGCCCCCCTCAAGCGAAACATTCCAATGGGCGAATTTGTAGCTTGTCCTGAAAGAAATGAAAGGATTGGGAAGGTAATCCTTTAGTAAAAATATCGGCGATCTGATCTTTGGTAGAGATAAATTGAAGTTGGAGATCCTTACGAGCAACCTTGTCCCGGACAAAATGAAAATCAATTTCAACATGTTTGGTCCGCGCATGCAAGACCAGATTAGTAGACAAGTAGGTGGCACCAAGATTATCACACCAGAGAATTGGGGAAAAGGATAACCGAATACCAAGTTCAGTGAGTAAAGATTGTAGCCAAGAAATTTCGGCAAAAGCATCAGGTAAGGCTTTATATTCAGACTCAGTAGAGGATCGCGCCACTATCCGTTGCTTGCGAGAAGACCATGAAATTAGATTATCACCAAGATAGATTCCATAACCACAGGTGGACTTGAGATCATCAATGGAACCAGCCCAATCGGCATCGGAAAAAGCTTGAAGATGAGTAGAAGAAGTGGGTTGAAGT